TTTTTTGTGTGTATGTTTCAAACAGTGTAATACTGGAAAGATTAATCTTTGTATTTTTCACACTTTTATTTTATTCAGAATATTTGGACATTAGATGACCCTTATTTAAAAGGTAAATGTCAAGCTGGGCATGGTGGCACACGCCTTTAGTCCCAGCACTCGGGAGGCAGAGGCAGGCAGATCTCTCTGACTTCAAGGTCAGCCTGGTCTACATAGTTCCAGGCCAGCTGGGGCTACAGGGAGACCCTGTCCCCAAAAGACCAAAAATAAATAAAGATAAATGGCATATGCACCTGCATACACATGCATGCATGCCTATCCCCATACACACATACAAATAAATGAAGTATTTTCAACATTATTATGTTTATGTGACTATAATGAAATCAAATGATTTACTTTTTCCTCCATTTTTTTCATAAAGATAAAATACATTACTTTGTCCTCAAGCATCTGCTTCACCACGTTTTTTTTTTTTTTCATGAATGTTATGCCTGCATGTAGGTAAGTGCACCCATGTCGTGCAATGCCCACAGAGAACAGAAGAGGCTGTTACAGACAGTTGTTAGCTGCTATGTGGGTGCTGGGATTCAAACCCGGGTCTTCTGCAAGAACAGTCAGAGTCCTTAACTGCTGAGCCATGTCTCCAGCTTCACGTCATTAAATTTTTATTGAAAAGAAATGGAAACATAATTACTACTCCAAGTTCAGGCCAGTGGTTACTAATGTTGAGTGTGGAAGAGTCTATTATTGGGAATAAGAAAATTAAAACTCCCATCAAGAGACAAATTATAAATATAAATGATTTTTAAAAATGTGCGAGTTCACCTTAAAAAGAAAGCAGAGTGATGCCTCTGTGACTTGAAGTTAGTGGCATACCTAAGCCGAGGATGTGAGTTGTGGCTAATGGAAGTTTACAAAGGGAGCATTCTCAAGTCTGAGCCTTCTTCCACCATTATTTACTGACCCACACAGGATTTTAGCAGGGAGAAAAATCAAGGCTAACCTGTTTACTCAGCTTTTGATAAACAGATCTAAAATGTAAATCCACTACATTGTTTTACTTTGCTTGAAATATTTTTATGCCCAAGGCATTCTGCCAGAGACAGTGTGGGACATATGATGAATGGGACATTTGTATAGCACTTTGGCATCAAGCAGACTGGTTTGAACCTCAGCTTCAGGAATAAATTACGCTGTCAAGGACAGGATTTTGTAGGTGGGGCTGAAACTTCAGCCTGCTAGGCAAACATTCTTCCACCAAAGTGTGCCTCTGGCCTTTTACCGCTCAGTTAAGTCAGTGAAATGAAGCACTTATCATTAAAAAGAAAAAGGGAAGTGCCTCCCTGGGACAGGAACCCTGGAGCTGCTCCATAAATTTGCGTTTCATTCCTGGAACTTCATTCTGAGGTTGTAAGACAAACAGTGACTTGGTTGTGGAATGGGGGGCGGGGGTGGGGGTTGTTCTGAAAGAGTAGGGGCACCTGATGAGTTTGATTTTGTTTTGAGACAGTCTGCCCAAACTGGCCTGAGTCCTTCATCCTCCCGCCTCCACTTCCTGAGGGCCTGGATTACCTGTATTCACTGACACACCCAGCCTGAAACTAGTTTGCTTTTTTTTAAAGTATTTTATTTATTTTATGTAGTATGAGTGTATTGCCTGCATGGAGGTAAGTTCACCAGTGTCATGCAATGCCCTTGGAGGACAGAAGAGGCCGTCGGATCCCCTGGAACTGGAGTTATGGACAGTCAATAGTTGCCACGTAGGTGCTGGGATTCGAACCTGGGTCTTCTGCAAGAGCAATCAGTGTTCTTAACCCCTGAGCCATCTCTCCAGCCCTGTGAAACTAGTTTTCACCAGAACTGGCTAAAACAAGTGAGAGAGACCTGCAAGATAAACTTTGTGTAGTGGCTTTTAGGTCTTGTGAGAGAGGAGCATCTACAGGAGTTTACTAGGATGAAGACTAAAACTGTGAATGTCCACCAAGCTGCCTGCTGGGTTGGTGGTTTGGGCTATTATAAAAAAAAATACTATTCCATGGTGCAGCTGGCCTGGAGAACTGGCCCTAACATGGTGAAGGAGAGAGTTGACTCCTTTCAGGTTGTCCTCTGACTTGCAAAGAAGACCCATGTCATGTTTCCCCACAAAATGTAGCCTTATGCGGTGGGAGAGGCAAAGGGTTTTGTTGGAATCTCTTCTAAAAACATTACCCAAGCATGGGGACACTGGCATTTAATACAAGCACTGGATTTCTTAAGAGATCCAACAGCCTCTGCCCGCCACATGCTGGGATTAAAGGCATGGGCCACCACGCCTGTTTTCTCCCACTTATTTTTAACAGACTGCGAACTTCTAATATCCTTAAGCCCGGTCTTTTTGAGACAGGGTCTCCTTGTAACCCCAGCTGTCCTGGCACTCGCTATGTAGACCAGGCTGGCCTCAAACTCACAAATATCAGCCTGCTTCTGCCTCCCAAGTGCTGGGACTAAAGGTGTGCGCCACCACACCTGGCTCCCTTTGTAATTTTATCTTTATTTTTAAGGATCTTGTCATGTAGCCCTGGCTGTCCTGGTCCTGGAACTTGCTGTGTAGAGGAGGATGGCAGAGAAGTAGGATATGGGGCCCAAATTGGCCTTGAACTGTTCCTTCTGCCTGTACCTTCCCAGATCTGGGAAGGTCCTGGTCCTGGAACTTGCTGTGTAGAGGAGGATGGCAGAGAAGTAGGATATGGGGCCCAAATTGGCCTTGAACTGTTCCTTCTGCCTGTACCTTCCCAGATCTGGGATTCTAGGCATCTGCCAGCACACCCAGATGCTTTCTTTTCTTTCCTTTCTTCCCCTCCCCCTCTCTTTTTCAGATAGGGTCTTATATAGACCAGGCCAGTCTGGAACTCAAGAGATCTGCCTGCCTCTGCCTCCTGAGTGTTGGAACGACAGGCTCCAGTTGCTTATTTTTAAATGACAAATAAAAATTGCACAAATATAGGCTACACTAGAATGTGATGTTTCATGGATGCACATAATTGGGGGAAGATTAAATTGTGCTAGTTGAATCATTCCACATACTTGTCATTTTTGTGGTGGGTGAGGTCTCTTTCACTGGGGCCCCAGGATTTAATCATCCCTCAAAGGCCTCATTACCAAATACCATGGAAATTTCTACATATAAATTTGGGGGGAACTCTGCATAGCACCTACCTACTTGCAAAATTTCCTCTGTATCATGTGATTTTCTACACTGAACTAGGGTATGCAAGTAAAACCCTGCAGGTAAAGGCTCATGTGATGGAATAGGAAAGGGTCAAGTGTTTCCATCCTGGACCTTGGGCTCATACAATGGGCATTTCAGGAGATTGCACTTAAGAGCTTAGTGCCTGCGTGACACTGTGCACTCACCTACATGCAGGCAATACATGCATACACATAAAAAATTTTTTTTAAAAAAGATGTTAATGTTAGTGCAAGAATTTGAAGACACTGTCCTAGTTTCCTGGAAGGCAACAAGCAAGCAATGTTAAATAAACCAGGAGACCCAGGTGTGGTGGCTCACACCTACAAGCACAGCATCTAGGAAACTGACCAGGAGTGCAGCAAGTTCAAGGCCAGCTTGGGCCACCCAGTGAGTATGAGACCAGCCTGAGCTACAGTGTAAGACCCAGTTTTTTTTTTTTTTGGGGGGGAGGGGTCTTTTTGAGACAGGGTCTCCCTGTAGCCCCAGCTGTCCTGGATTCACCATGGAGACCATGGCTGGCCTCGAACTCACAGAGATCTACCTGCCTCTGCCTCCCGAGTGCTGGGATTAAAGGCGTGTGCCACCACTCCCGCCCAAGACCCAGTCTTAAAAAAAAAAGGAATCGGAGAGATGGTTTAGGGATAACTCCAGTTCCAGGAGATCCAATGCCCTCTTCTGACCTCCACAGCCATTGCACGACAAAGATGCACTTAAATACATGCAGGCAATACACTCATACACATAAAATAAAAATAAATATTTTCAAGTCCAATAAATGGTGGGGCATGGTGGTTCACGCCTTTAATCCTAGCTCTCGGAGGCAGAGGCAGGCGGCTCTCTGTGAGTTCAAGGCCAGCCTGGTCTACATAGTGACTTCCGGGACAGCCCTACAAGGAGACCCTATTTCCAAAAAAAAAAAAAAAAAAAAAACCTTACATTAGGGCACATTAAAAGTTTTTTTATTTACTCTTTTTTATTTTATATGTATGTTTTGCCTGCATGTGTGTAAATGTACCTGTGTCATCCAATGCCCAAGGAGTACAAGGAGGATGGTTGTTAGCCACCATGTGGGAGCTAGGAATAGAACCCGGGTCCTCTGTGAGAGCAGGCACTGCTCTTATCCGCGGAGCCATCCCTCCAACCCCAACAAAGGGCACTTGTTGTTTTTGAGACAGGGTCTCCCTGTAGCCCTAGCTGACCTGGAACGCACTATGTAGATCAGGCTGGCCTTGAACTCACAGAGATCCGCCTGCCTCTGTTCCCAGGTCCTGGGACTAAAGGCGTGCTCCACCACGCCCGGCCTTTCAGTGTCAATTAATAATTTGAGAGGCATTTTAGTGAGGGCAGAAAAATCAATAAAAGACCCAAACCTGAAGAACGATTGGGTTCTTACTGAATCCCACCTTCTCTTAAAATCAGCCCCGGCCCTTTTTTCTTAAACTACCGGGGACTAGAAAAGGCTGAGGCTGTGTGCGGAAAAGATACGGGGTCTCCGGCGCGGCAGTGCTGCCAGCAAACCTTCCGCAGTTCTCCCGACTCTCTCGGCCACGCACGTGATAACTCTCCGCTACAGCTACCTGCGCTAGGGCTCAGGGTCTGAAGACCACTAACGCTTTGGGGGAGCCGTCCCTCGTGACGTCACGAGCGCGATTCCTCTCGATGGCCAATCAGGAGGCTGGACTCCGGGGAAGCCCAGGCGGCGGCCAGGGCGCGTGCGCTGGAGCTCCGCGTGTCTATATAAACGTGGCTGGCGGAGGAGCGCAGTCGGTCTGTGGGGAGTACGTGCAGGGGCTTCAGGGGCCGGCGCGGGTCTGTAGTAGTACGAAGTTGTTGGTGGGGAAGCGCAGCGAGGATGTCCCGGAGTCGGAACTGAAGTAACGCCCCTGTGGGAGCTGCCGGTCCGGGCGCTTCTGCGGCTGGACCGGGGCTGAGGCGCGCACGTGTGAGTGCCGCTGAGGCAGCGCCCGTGGTCTAGGTGGCCGGGGCCGCGCGGGTCCTGCTCCCCAGGTGCGATGTTGCGGAGCCCGCGCTGCGCCCAGGTCTGCCGCCGCCAGCCCGCGCTCGCCTGGTCTCTGCTCCGGGAAGGGCAGCGCGGCTGCCACTGAGCCCCCGAGGGATGCCTGCCGGCCTCAGCGAGCCTGCGGCCGCCGCTGCTCCGGCCGTCGCGAGCGCCTCGGGGACCGTGAGCGTGGCTCCCGGCGCGCTGCCGGTGCGGGTGGACGGCATCCCACTGGCCCTGGGCTCCGCGACCGCGGCGCCGGTCAGTGTCTGCGTGGAGTCCCGGGCGCCCCAGCCCCTGGCGTCCCCCGTGGGGACCCTAATGACCAAAGTGGCTCCTGTCACCGCCCTTCCTAAAGTCGGCGGCGGCCCTCGGCTGCCCGCCCCCCAGATAGTCACCGTGAAAACCCCGGGCACCGCGACCATCCATCTGCCTGCCAGTTTGCAGCTTCCTGCAGGTACGTGGATCGCCCTAGGTGACATCGCCCCAAGGTGTCACGGACACGCCGCCCCGAAGGGCTCCTCCTCCTTGCTGCTGGCTCTGCAAAACTCCCAGCCCAGACCCTTTCCCAGTTCTGATTTTGCAGCGAGCCGACAGGAAGCAGCCCAGTGGATAGTGATTTAGTTTCCCCTCTTGAGCCTCTTGGTTCTTTGAACCCAAGTGACAGCCCAGGCTGGAAGGGGCACTTTGAGCCGGGCCCTGCAGGCACCTAGGTAGGGACCTCAGGGAAAGCTTGGAGATCATTTTCATTTTTCCATGCACTTAGGTGGTGGGGTGAAACAGTGTTTTTAAATAAACTTTTTGGAAGTTAAGAGACAAGGTCTCTAGCTTAGGCTGGCTCTGAACTGAGTAAGGGAGGATGACCTTGAATTTGCAGCCCTACCCACCGCCTGGCCAAATATACGCTCTCCAGACTTGTAATAACTATAACTTGCACTTAGAAGGAGCGCTTCCTTACGGACAAAGGGTCATCATGAATGTTCTGTTGAGGTTTTTTTTTTTTTTTTTTTTTCGGTGTTTTTGAGACCGGGTCTGGCTTGGAACTTACTATGTAGACCAGGCTGGCCTTGAACTCATAGAAATCTGCTTGCCTCTGCCTCCCGAGTGCTGGGATTAAAAGCGAGCATCACCATGCCTGGCCTCTTTGGTTGCCTTTTATCTCAAGGCTTCTTACTCTATTGGACTGTTTTTCATGATTTCCATTAGTATTTAACTTTCTGATAATTTATATACTGTAACTGCTGAATTAATTCCGCGAATTCTCTTCTCTTGCTCACTTAAGAAAATCTTAAAATTTGTCTTCCAATAATTTTGCTTAGCAGAAATTGGAAATCCAACCTGTCTGGTTAAAAAAAAAAAAAAAGCGTGGGAGAGATGGCTCATCAGTTAAGAACACTGGTTGTTCTTGCAGAAGACCCGGGTTTGAATTCCAGCACCCACACCGCAGCTAACAACTGTCCGGTAACTCCAGTTCTGGGGGGATCCGACAGCCTCTTCTGTCTGCACGACACGGGTGCACTTAACCTACATGCAGGCAATACATGCATACACATAAAATTAAAAAAAAAAAAAAAAGCAGCAAATTGAAAAAAACAATATCCCCCCCACCCAAACTAAACAAAACAAAAAAACCTGGCTCTACAAACTCCTAGTCAGAGGCAGGCAAATCTCTGAGTTAAGAAAACTCCCAGCCAAGAGAACCTTGACTCAATGGTAAAGAAGGAAGTGGCAGCAGTAAATGAAAAGATTTCTTTAGTATCCTCCAGCAAAAGAAGAGAGGCTCTGCTGAGAAGAGGGGGATATAGTCTCTTACCTTACTCCTTGGTCCTAATAGGCAGGTAGCAAATAAGGGAAGGCGTCTGCTCTAAGGATAAATAATTTGCACAGTGTTATCAAGGGCTTTGAGTCCAGGTGTGTTTAACCCTCTACAGCACTGTGCATGCCAAATGAGTGTATATAGTATGCCTCATGGAGTGACATTGTTGAAAGGTGACTATAAAATTGCATTTTATAGATCAAGAAACTAAAACTGAAATGTGCTTCAGTTCTGTTAAAGCAAAGTAAGACCATAGCCCATTAATACTCTGGACCCTGGAGAAGCCCTTCAATAGAGAAGAGCAAGGCTTGGAACTCACTATGTAGACCAGACTGGCCTGAAACTCAGATCTGCCTGCCTTCGCCTCCAAAGGCATGCACCATGCCCGGCTAGTATAGGATTTTCTAGTTCCATCCATTTTCCTACAAATTTCCTAGGTACGTTTGCTTGAAATACTTTTTTCTATGCTTTGATCTAAGGTATGTCTTACTTTTTGTGGTGAGGTGTATTTGCTGGAGGCAAGAAATACATGATTTTTGCTTTTGAATGCACTTTATTAATTCAGCTGTGATTGGGAAGTTGAGACCATTAATACTCAGTTATTTAAAGTTGTGTATTCATGATTTTTTGTAGTCTTTTTATTTTCCTCTCTCTTCCTCTCTTGCTTAGTAGTATTTTAGCATGGTTTATTAACTATAGCTTCATGGATGGATTTGTTTTTCTCTTCAGTTTGAAAGATTCCTTCAGGTATCCAATGCAGAGCTGGCTCATTGGTTATAAAAAATGATAGTTTTGCTGAGTATAGTATTCTGGAGTGACAGTTCTTATCTTTTAGAACTTGAAATACTTCATTCCAAATCCTTCTGGCTTTTAAAATTTCAGTTGAATAATCCAGTGTTATTCTGGTGGGCCTACCTTTATACACTTTCTTTGGTCTGTATATTTAGTATTTTAATTGTAATGACAGAGGGAAGGTTCTATTCTGGTCTTGTCTGGTGGGTATTTGTCCTCAGTGCCTCCTGTATCTGGATTTATGTCTCTTTTCCTAACAATGGAAAATGTTCTGTTACAATTTTTTTTTGGAAAATATTCTCTATGCCTTTTGAACAAGATTCTTATGTGCCTGTGACCCATAAATTTGTTTTTTTTTTTTTTTTTTTTCCAGAGTGTTGTGTACATCTTAGACTCCCACTGGTGCCTTCTTTCTTTATCTTTGTCCTTGGTGGCTGTTCCAGTCCCTCCACCATGTCTTCAGGTTCATGGATTCTTTCTTCGGTCCTTTCTATTGCTGAACCTTTTTGGAGTTTTTATTTTACTATGTTTTTATTTTTATTTTTTTAAATACAAATATGTTTAATATGGAAGGACCCAGGACAGGCCTGGGGCATTCATATTCCCAAATCTTTCTACTTTCTCCCAAATTACTATGTTTTTAATTTCCACCATTTCAGGTTGTATTTCTTAAATTCTTTCATGTCATCTATCAGCTTCCTTGTTTCATTCATGTCTTTAAACATATAATCATTATTTTGAGTTCATGGCGATCTTATCTAATAGACTCTCACTAGATGCCATTGCTGCAGGGTTATTAAATTTTGAAGTTCTGTTGTCTTGGCTCTTCATGTGTCTGTTGTTACTCTGTTGGGATTTGCACATCTGGTTTCATTTCTTTGGTTTATTTCTTTTCAGCTATATTGTTAAAGCTGAAGCATTTGCAATATTCAGGTGGGGACTTGAGGTAGGAGAATGGAGTGTGTAGCTCAGAAGGTAATTGCTCAGACCAGTAGCTCTGGGTGCTTGATGTAAGCGCTGTATTATTCCCTGAGTAGGAGATTAGCTAGGAGAGCAACAACAGCTGTTTGATACCACCACTATGCATTTGTGGACTAGCCAATTAAGTGACCTTTTGACTTCAATAACTATCAGGATAAACAATCAAGGATATTGTAGAGTATATTGGGATTCTAGATAATAAGATTAGGAAGGAAAGTAAGATGGGGAAGGATAAAGAAAAAAAATGGAATTGGGTGAAATAGCTAGGAGGGAAAGCTGTGAGACTCTTAAGATCCACACATTCTAGAAATTGCTAGAACTATGGAACATTGGGGCTGGACAGATGCTCAGTGGTTAAGAGCACTGACTGCTTTTGCAGAGGGACCCAGTTTTGGTTCCCAGCACCTAACTGGTGGCTAATAAAGATCCTTAACTCCAGTTCCAGGGGATTTGACGCCCTCTTCTGGCCCCTGCATGATGGTGTGTAGCTAAAATTCCTTCTGGGAGGCACAAATGACATCTAGCCCCCTCCTTCCTTAGTCCCTACACAAACCAAGGTACAGTTTTGCCAAACTGCAGTGTGGGAAGCCAGTGAGTTTATTGGGCTTATTTATAGAGCAGTGGGTGAGGGTTTACTTACAGGAATGTGGGTGCTCCCCGCAAGGCTGCACTTGAAAGTTTCCATCCAGGCGTGGATTGGTAACTCTAGGTCTAAGGGATCTGATGCTGTCTTCTGACTTCCATGGGCACTGCACACAATGGCACACTTACATACCTGTGGGGAAAACACTTTAAACACATAAAATAAAATTAAATCTTAGAGGCTGGAGAGATGACTCAGAGGCTAAAAGTACTTGCTGACTGCTCTTATAGGAGACCTGAGTTTGATTCCCAGCACCCACATGCCTGCTCCATCATCCTCTTCTGGCCTGTTGCACTGTACACACAAGGTACACGTACATATAGACAAACAAAACACAAATAAAAATGAATCTTTTAAAAAAAATTAAGTTTTTTTTTTTTTTTTTTTTTTTTTTTTTTTTTGAGACAGGGTCTCCTTGTAGCCGCAGCTGTCCTGGAACTCACTATGTAGACCAGGCTGGCTTTGAACTCACAGAGATCCACCTGCCTCTGCCTCCCAAGTGCTG